ATCCACGCAAACACAGGAGAATACATCATTATCTCGCAGTTTCACAATAAAAGCTCAAACCCTCACTCTGTGTTTACACGTTTTGATGTCCACATATTCATTTAATTACAGTGACTATAGCATTCTGTCCTAAAGAAATGGCCAAATATTAAAGATTAAGTGGACATTTGAATGAAATGGTGCTTGGTCAATATTAAACAAGTATTAGATTGCACAGCAATGTGTAAAAACAGTCATCAGGCTGATGGCGCCCCCTGCAGGCCTTTGTTGTAATGCGCAATGTACATTAGCTCTATTGTTTATATTACATTATGTATTTTAACACTTTTGTTCAATAAAACCATATGATTATTGCCTCATTGCTATTATATATGTATTTTAAGTCATTTTAAAGGCTATTGTCCACTTATATCTATTTTTATTACCACAAAAAAAATTATTATAATTATAGGAAGCATCTCCAATTAATTGATTTTTTTTTTTTTTTTTTCAGAAATACTGCACATTTACATTTTTCTCCTAAATAAATTCTGGTAAATAACATTTCTAGTAAATACTCCTTTAAAAAGTGTTTTTTGATTATAATTTGACTATAACATGTGGATATGATGTCATTCTTACACTATAATACTGAACTTTGATTTCAGTGATTTGGACTATGAGATGGACACTTGCTTCTTGCTCTCTATGTTGCACTTTACTTTTGCTTTAAAAAAAGGATTTCAGAGAAATTTTGATTTCATTTGGTTTAATAAAATATAGTTTAATAAAATATTCTTAAGTGAGATTGTTGATTTTCTTGTGGGAAATTAATCGTTAAGATTAATCGATTAATCGATAAATTAGTCAATAGATTAATCGAAATAAAAATAGTTGTTAGTGGCAGCCCTACGTAACAAGCTTTCGTATTCAAAACTATTATTTACTGGATATGTCATAATAAAAGCACAACACTTATGCCGGAAGATGCTAGAGACGAAAAACAGTGAGATGCAATGGCCAAAGATGTCCATTTCAATGTTTATTTTAGATTTAAAAAATAAATAAGCAAAATCTTTTCATTTACACAAATGCATTTTTCAGACACTTATCCAAAGCAAAATGCAATGCATTTAAACTATACATTTGATCAGTTCATGCATTCATGAGAATCGAACCCATGCTTCACTGTTATGTGAAGTGTAATTATTTATTTTATAATCGTTTGTTGCAAAAAAAATGCGGATAAGACCTGATGATTATGCATATTAAGAAATAGCTGCACACAGCAGAAGCCTTGAAATATGAAGTGTACTGTTAAGGAAGATAAATTGGGCACTGAAACACTCACCTCCTCTATGTTTCGGATCCAGTTTTTGATGTTGTCAAATGATTTCTCATTGGTAATATCATAAACCAGCATGATACCCTGAGATCAGAGCACAAGACAAATTACAACTGTGCACAAAACAGCAATTATGAAGACAACAGCATAAGTGTTATTACTGCGTTAACCCTTTGCTGAAAATCCTTAATCTAATTCAAAACTGTCCAGCCTTTTAAAGATTGCTTGTCAAACTCTCATTATGCAGTAATAAATCACCAAATCTTGGTTTCAAACTTGTTTTCTCGCAGTTAGCGCAGGCCTACGATCAATCATTTCCAAAAAGAAATACAAAATTTGTGTTACTGAAAAAAATCAAGTTATATAAGTTGTATAAGCATTTTTGACCGGGAACACAACACGTGTAGTAACAAGGTGGGGGGGAAAGAAAAACATTTAGAAAATATTTTTGAGAAGTAGTATTATAACTAGTGTAAGCAAAGTCAGTAGGTTTTGGTCTAATGCAACGACATTAACTACTTATTCTGGAAAAAGAAAATCCTCTCCAGAACGCAACATAAGGGTAACCAGCGAGACAGACCAGAAGCTCATACAAAGCACAGTAAAGGAGTACATACTTCAGCATCATCTTACCATTGCACCTCTGTAATACGCCGTTGTGATCGTTCGGAATCGCTCCTGTCCTGCCGTGTCCCTGTAAAAATCAAATGTTGTTGCGTTTCCATTGTTTTACGTATACTTTCTGCCTTTATGTTCATTCAGAAGAAATAATTAAAACAACACTACCCTTACACAGCAGACAGATCGAGAAAAAAAAACTGAAAAGGGAAACATTCTTACGTGCAATAATGGGTCATAATGTGAAAGTCTAAAAACATAAAACACTTTTAACTATTAAAATATTATTATATTTTGGTTGTATGCCATATATTGTGTCAGCACTCTTATAAATGGGACAAATGGCAACAACAAGACATTATTTATTACTTAATGGATTAATAATAGGTGCATTATGAAATAATCATTCAGCATTGCTATACAAAAGAGGATAATTAACACCTTAAATATGAAATAAATATCACATGTCTAATATAAAAAAAGTTGTTTCTTTATTATTTTGTGTTTCTATGAAAAGGGCCACAAAGATGGAAAAAGACTAGACTAGACTCAAGATCAGAGAGGCAGGAAATATGTATTATTTCTAAAAGCATGAAAATGAAACAAGTGGGAGTGTTCAAAGAGCAGAAAAAAACTTTATTCAATTTTTGAGGAATAACCAAACTTCAAGAGAGTGCAAAATACATAAGGCATTTTGAAGAAGAAAGGGTGAGCAGAGAAAGCGAGACAGAGGCACAGCCAATCAGGATTATTTATGCAGAGCTATCAATCACAGTTAGCACTCATAATGTTCAGCTCGAGCACTGCTGACACATAAAAGCATCTATAAGGAGGTCATATCATTGAGAGCGTGATCCAGCTCCTCACTAATGGCCTTGTATTTCTGCTTCTGAGCATAGAGTTCATCTGTAGGTTAAATGTCAAGAGCAGAAAGGACAGGTGTTTCGGCCAAGGACGGAGAACGCAGGAGACAGGAACAGGAAATGATAGACAGAAAACAAAAGGAAAACAGTAAGTTCAACAGGTCAAAGTGGACAAGACAGCATGATAATGCCTAAAAATGCTTTCTAGGTAGGCAGCTCACTAGATACAAGAAAGAAAGGAAAAAGAAAGAGAAAAGGGGGATGAAAAAACTGAAGTCTAATCCTAAACACTTCGATTTGTTCATTTTTTGTGCATTTATATGTTCTGTATTATTACATTTATTTAATATTAATAAATTATGAAACAAATTCAATTTCTACAGATGATAATAGTTCTTAATAAACAGGAATATAACAGAGCTAATGTTTTATTAAATTGAAAATTATTTATTTATAATGAATATAAACATATATATAAATAATTTGTTAAGTTATATTTAATACTAATCAATTATGGATTAAAAATTCAAAAGCAGCTCTACAGAAGATAACTCTTAATAAACAGAAATATAACAATGTTAATGTTTTATTAATGTGAAAATGATTTAATATTTATAATAAATAACTTATACAAATATATAATTAATTTATTACATTTAATTTAATATTAATAAATGATTAAACAAATTCATCTGTAAACCAGCTCTACAGAAGATCATAGTTCTTAATAAACAGGAATATAACACAGTTAATATTTTTATTAATTTAAAAATGATTTATTTATTAATTATAATAAATATACATATATAAATAATTTATGAAATGTTATTTAATATGAAACAATTACGAAACAAATTCAATTTCAGATATAAAGCAGCTTTACACAAAATAATAGTTCTTAATAAACAGGAATATAACAGGTGTTAATATTTTATTAATTGTAAAATTATTTATTATTTATTAATTTATTTAAGAATCATTTTTCATTTCTAATGAATTATATGTATATATATATATATATATATATATATACAGTATCACATTTTTGTAAATATTTTATTATATCTTTTCATGTGACAACACTGAAGAAATGAATGACACTTTGCTACAAGGTAAAGTAGTGAGTGTACAGCTTGTATAAGTATAAATTTGCTGTCCCCTCAAAAAAACTCAACACACAGCCATTCATGTCTAAACCGCTGGCCACAAAAGTGAGTACACCCCTAAGTGAAAATGTCCAAAGTGTCAATATTTTGTGTGGCCACCATTATTTTCCAGCACTGCCTTAACCCTCTT